GCCGGCGACTCATGGCAGCCCAGGTCTAGGTCGAGCTGTTGTTCACCATCTTAGCTGTAGAGGGCGAGCGTCACTGGCCCTCAATGTGGGATTCAAACCACAGCCCTGCTGCTCAGAGCTGGTGCTCCCAAGCGAGTTCTTAACCAGCTGAGCCACTCAGCCGGCCCCAAACCACAGCTTTTTTAAGCTGGTGAATTTATGAAGGCAAAAGATACTTAACTGAGGGCCTATCTTTGCATGGCCATGAGCCAAATATTAAGTGAATTTTCTGTCCTTGTGTCTTCGTTGCATAGAAGCTCAGCATTGTGGGTAAATCATTTATCCTTGCCTTGTCCCAGTAAAGGACAGGGGAAGGGGCAGAGGGATCTCTGTTTTAATAAACTGGAGGCACCAAACATTGAGAAGAAGGTGCATTGTGGGGTGGTGGGAGACGCAAAGGGCTGTGATGGGCACAGGGAGGACTGCCATGCTGTGTGACCTTAGGTAGATCTCTGACCCTCTCTGAGCCTCCAGTGCCTCATCTGTAGCATGAGGAGACTAGACCAGCCCCATGAGGTGTGACCCCTGGGGACACAGTTCTTTTATCCTCCTCAATCAATGTGCTTTTCAGAGTTGGAAATTTAGAACTTGAGCATCTGGGGCAACTCAGGTAGTTCTGTGGGTGCCTGCCAAGAGACGGGTATGTCTGTGAGGAACATTTCCAGCACCCACAGAGTTCCGGGAATCGGGGATTGGGGGGAGGGGCTCCAATGGAGGGGACCCGCATGTGTGCCTTGTTTCTAGTGAGTGAGAATCTTATGCAGACCTATTTTCAGGGAGTCAAAGCTTAAAAACTTGTCCTAGTGCCTGCCGCTGCCGCTGCCTCTGCGAGTCGGCTGCTTGAAAAAAATGACGTCAAAACCTGTGTGTTGCAGCCAGTTTCAAACAATGCTTCAAAACAAGGCTGTGTCCTGTTATCCTGTTGTCGAGTTTTCACTTTGGTATTTGGGCATCTTCGGGGACCTCAGTAGCCTGGTGTTTGGCCGTCCCCCATTGACCCTTCTGTACACATTACTGGTAGGGCCTTGGGCCAACTTTCTGAAGGGACATTCAGGGTAACCCTCTACCCCCCAAAACAAAACAAAACAAAACAAAACAAAACAAAGCAAAACAAAAAACCTCCAGAGTGTTGCTCTGTGGAGGGCCACTGCTGGGTTGCTTCTCTTCTACAGGGTGGTGATGCCTTTTCTCGGAGGGCCCCCAGGTCAAATGCTCAGGCTAGTTTCAGATGTGGGTCATTGAGTGCGGGGTGGGCAGGCTGGCGTGCTGCCTGCAACCAGCTGGAGCACCGAGGAAATGAAGACTGACATAGAAGGTGAAGTGGCGACAGAGTCCCTGTTACTTCCGGGAAGTTCCCTGCATTATTATTATGTTTTTCCCTGAGAAGCTGCTCCGTCGTCCGCATTCTCTGGCAAATCTCCTCAACTTTTGGGCCCAGTTTCTGCAAAATGGGAGAGAGCAGGGGTTAGGGCTAGTCCTTCCAGCCCTGTTCTAACTCCTTTCCAATTTTTCAGATAGAAAACTAAGGCCTGAGGAGTTTATTCCTTGGCTTTCAGCTCACTCACGTGGAAACCACAGCAAAGAAGGGACGTATGTCTGTGGACCTTCCCTGCTTCCTGTAGGTCCCTCTGGAGCCACTCGGCCTCTCTGCTGCCTTGAATGTCACCTTGTGGGCTCTTCTACCCCTCCCTGCCAGGCTACCAACTGGGAGACTGGCTAGGACAGGGATGGAAAATGTGCATGTTTAATGTTGTGGTTTGGGAGGAAGTACTTTTTCGAAGCAGTCTGCAAAGGGGCCTTTTTCTTCCCTCCCATCCCAGGATAGTCACACTTGCAACTTCATTCTGGGCCTTGACACTTGCTGTGCCCTCTGAATTGAAATGCTCCCTTTTGCCCAGCAGGGCCTGCTCCATGGCGGTTGGCGGTGGCGGCGTGTGACCTGTGCAGTTGCATGTTCTGCTGCCAGTCTCTTGGAATTCTTAATAACTTAATAACTTTTGAGTCCCAAAAGGGGCTCCCCATTTTTCATTGAGTCCTGTGAATTCTGTAGCCAGTCTTGCCTCCACCTCCAGCTCTTCGCCCACCAAAATCACCCCTTCTGAGGGCTCTTCCAGTGCCCCTCCCACCTTTTAAGTAGCATTCCCCCCTACGCCTATGCCCAGTTTCTTTTTTTTTTTAACTTTTTTTTTTTTTAAACTCCAAGTCAAGTTGTCCTTCAATCTTAGTTGTGAAGGGTGCAGCTCAGCTCCAAATCCAGGTGCCGCTTTCAATCTAGTTGGTGGGGGGGGATGGTTTGGAGTCACAGCCCACCATCCCACAGATGGGAGTTGAACTGGCAACTTTGTTGTAAAGAGCACGCATTCTCACCAGCTGAGCCATCTGGCTGCCCGTAGGCAGCTCAGTGGCAGCTCAGCTCGGGCGCAGCTCACTGGCCCATGTGGGAATCGAACCTGCGACCCTGTTGCTCAGAGCTCGCACTCTAACCAACTGAGCCACCCAGCCAGCCCCTACACCCAGTTTCTTGATCCATCACTCGGTTGTTTTCACAACACTTAGTCATTCTTTGAGATTATTTCTTTAATTTCCTTATTTGTTTACGTGACTGCTTCCTGTCTCCCGCAATGGACTGTGGGCTCCATGAAAACGGGACTGTGTTTATGGGATCTCCACTTTTCGCAACTACCTAACCTAGTGTGGGCTCACGGTAAACTTTGGATAAATATTTGCCAGATGCATGAATGAAACAAGCAACTCTAACTTGCCAAAGACAGAATTCTGTGTTTCTGAGGCATGTAAAGCACTTGATGAATGAGTTTGGGAATGGGTGGATGAATGGATGAGTGAATGAGTGAATGGATGGATGCATCAATGAATGAATGAATAGGCATTTTGTTGTTGCTCTTTATCAACAGTAGAATTTTTGTTTTCAGAAAATTCTTTTCACATACGTCTTGTGACTTTGAAGACTAGTTCCGGGATTCAACTCTTTGAATTTTTCTTCTGCCTTTAATATGTTTATGTAATCCCTCCTTTGCCTTCCATTTTCCCACCTGACAAAGGCTGCCTAAGATTATAGATCCAATGGCTTTGTGCTGTCTGTTCAGCCCCTATCTCCCCACCAGTCTCTTCCCTTTTGGGTTCATCTCAGGCCAGGGCATGGGACTGGCCCTTTTCTTGGACTTGGAAACAGTCCCCGAAGGCTGGAGTTCTCATGCAACCCTTAGAAATAGAGCTGATGAGAACGTGATATAATGTGGTATAATAGATGCTCACATGCCATGAAATGAAGGTTACAGGGTTGTCCCATTTTATTTAACGAGCAGCAATGTGGTTAGTGCACAATGAGTTTAGGGTAAGAAACCGGGTTCACAGCTGCCCCTTACTAGCTTGCTACCCTAATAGTTCTGCCCTATGGGGTGCATGCATAAACTGGGATAGGTTCAGGATTGCGCAACTCAGTTCTGAAATTGAAAGTTATGACACTCAAGTTCATGAGTTGGTGGTGAACCCATTTAACCGCAAACTTGCCTGGAATAGTTGTGAAGTTATTCATAGTCTTTATTTATTTTTATTTTTTTGGTGAATATTCATGCCTTCTGCTGCTGAAATATTAACATGAAAATGTGTAACATAAAGTTTTACCTACCTAAAAAAAATTCCCCAATTCCGGGCCGGCCGAGTGGCACGTTGATTAAGAATTGGCTTGGGACGCCAGCTCTGAGCAGCAGGGCCCTGGTTCGGATCCCACATGAGGGCCAGTGATGCTGCGCCCTCTACAGCTAAGATGGTGAACAACAGCTCGACTTGGAGCTGGGCTGCCGTGAGTCGCCGGCAACGGCGTAGGCTGCAGTGGGCTGGCCAGCAGCTGCCGTGAGCTTTCATGAGCTGCCGTCCAATGGCCGGCAAGCGACTGGCCTCACCCGGAAAGAGCACAATTATAATAGCAACATGGGCCAGTAACGACGTCCTCCACAACTAGACTGAAGAACAAAAGGACAGCAACTTGCCTGTTCCCCTTCCCCGATTTCCCAATGCTGTTCCACCTCCCAATTCCCCAATAAAATCTAAAAAAAAAAAAATTCCCCAATTCCAAAGCACATCAGGCCCTGGGAGTTTTGGATAAGCATTGTGGACATGTGTATGTAACGTGCTTAGAACATTCCTGCCACACAGTAAGCACAAAAAATGCTTGTGCTTAATAAATGTGTATGTATGGCTGGAGAGACTGGAAGGAACATTTTCAAATAGTTAATAATCAGTCTTTATATGGTACGATTATAAGTAATTTAAATTCCGTGTTTTCTTTCTGCTGTAAATGTTGTTATAACAACGTTGAACAATATTTAATAATAAAACATTATTATTATGTTTTATTATAAAAAACAAGTTTTTTTATAATAAAAGTGAACCAGTCATCTCACTTCCTAGATGAGAAGCTGAGGCCCAGAGAAGTTCAGGGGTCTGTCCTGGGTCTTCCAGCAAGATCACCAAAGACCCAGAACGCCATTTGAACTCAGACCCTCAGCAGATGCAGGTTAGAAAGTGGTCCATGAAAAAAAAAAAGGGGTCCATGAACTCCCAGTGTTGATGTTACCACCTAACCTGGGTTCCAGCAAAGGCATCTCCAGCATCCTTCTAACTCCTTCTTTCCATCAGTGGGAAGAGTCAGGAGACAGGGCAATTTATTGAGTAACCATTCAGTGTGTGATCTTGAGGACATCACCTACCTACCCTCTGCGTGCTGAACTGGATGCTTCAAGGTCCTTTGTAGCTCTAACCACCTTTGCTTTGTGTGTGTGTGTGTAGGGGTGGGTGGGTTGGGGGTAGGAGATGGGGACAAGACAACAACAGCTTTTATAACCGTTTGCCCCTTGGACAATTACCACAGAGGGTCTGGGTTCCAGGCAAGTTTAAGGACAAGTGGAGAAGCTAAGGTTCTTCCTCTCCATTCATTGGCTTGGGAGCATTTATTGCAGCCCTGCTGGGTGGGTGCCAGGCACTGCGGTTGGCACAGAGATGGTGAGCCTGGCCCCTCAGGGGAGGGGCCAGAGAGGCCATGATTCCAGTACATTTTCTTTTGTAAGTGGAGAGACTGATGGAGAGGTTAAGAGTAGTCATGCTGGAGGCTGGCTGACTGAGGACCGGCCTGCTGACTCCTCCACACAGCCATCTCGCGAGCTGGGGCCACGCTGTCACCTTTCTGTGCCTCACTGTCCTCTAAAATGAGGCCACAGTGGTACCTACCTCACAAAGCCAGTGTCAGGCTTAGCGGAGTTGCTCTGAGCACAGCACTTAAAGCAGTGTCCACCCTGCAGTCACTGTCATTACGTGTAAAGCACGGCGTCATAGTGAGGGCCCAAGACCCACCGTCGGACATGCCTGGGCTCAAACCTCAGAGCAGTCGCGTGACCCCTTTGAGCTTCAATTTCCTTCTCTGCTGAAGCAGGATAATACTAGTGTCTACCTCGGAGGGTGTGGAGATCACAGGGCAGGAAGTGCCGGGAGTGGATGGATGGCCTCAGCCCGCCTCAGTTGCCTGGTGTAGAATGGGCATCTCTCAAAGTTCTTCCCTGTGTCCATGGCTATTCCCAAGACCTGCCAGGCATCTACTTTTAAGGTATGGCAACCTGTGTCCTCGGAGGAGGAAGAGGGATTGAAAAGGCAGGTGAAGTGTCCCTGGTACAAGGATAAAATACAAACCAGCACACAGCGGCTGGCTCTTTGCCAGCCATTTCCCAAACTGCTCACTTCCACGCTGGGAGTGTTGAGTTTAAAAGAGGTTTAGGGAAGGCGAGTGAGGGTCGGTGGGGTCTGGACATGAAGGAGGGGGCCCTGCCTGGGAGGGAAGGCACACCAGAAAGCAAACTTGACACGTGGGACCTCGCATCACCCTCCCTGTCCCCAATAGCATCCTGGGTGGGCTTGTAGTGGGTGCCTCCCCCAGCCTCTTCTTGCTCATGGTCACCATCTGTACGTCTTCTCATCAGCAATGTGTAGTGAGCAGGTCATACAAATTTAAACCATATAGAAACATTTTTATTTATCCCTAAATGGAATGCTACAGATCTTTTCTGTAATGTCTTTGTTTATTCATTTGTTCATTTAAGAAGGGGCTGGCAGAAACCCCATTTTCAAATCTCTTTAGCTCCTAAGATGTTTTCTGGGAAGCTGGGATAAAAGGGGTCCTCTGTCTTTTCCTTGCTCTCTTTGTGGAATGGATATTGAGTTTCGGGGGAGATTGGCCATTATTAGTACAGGGTACAGAACAATTAAACATTCTTATTTTTCCCCTTCCCCTTACGCATCAGCATCCTGTTTTAGAAGAATCATTCATTTCTCTATACTTAACATTTCCTTCATCACATATTGAAAGGAATTGTTTCATTTTTCTTTTAGTGAAAGTACGTTATATGGGGATGATTTTATAGAAGTGAAAGTGGAGGGAAGGGGTTTGCTCAAGGTCACACCGCAAGTAGGGACAGGCCCAGGGTCAATCATCGTTCAGTTCTTTCCACCATGCTGCTAGTCACTTGCACATGTATTTTCTTGTTGAGTGTGTGTGTGTGTGTGTGTGTGTGTGTGTTACCATTGACCTGGTTTTCCCTCTGCAATACCAAGAAGTTAAATTTAGCTTCTGATAAATCTGAGGAGATGAGCTTACAGCATGAGACTGTAAGTACAGTCAGGTTTGCATCGTTTCATTGAAAATCACAAGTATTGATGGTTGTATAAAGGTGGTATTGTGTATAGGGGTGTATATTATTCTTCCCTCCTCATCTTTTTTTTTTTTTTTTTTTAGCTGAGCCATCCCGCCACCTGTTGGCAGCTCACGGCTGCTCAGCTCGGGCTGGACTCGAACCACTGTTGCTCAGAGCTCAAACTCTTGAGCGAGCTCTTAACCAACTGAGCCACTCAGCCGGCCCCCTCCTCATCTTTTAGTCCCTAATCATGCAGGCAGAGAAAATTCCAAGTCATTATCACTCTGATGACACGCAAAGACCAACCATCTAAGTGAAATCCCTTTCTTCAGAGCCCTGGGTTAAGTAAGCTAGGTGTGTCAGGATGTCTCTAAGGCTGTATTAGTAGAGAAGTTACAATACCCACACAGTGTTCAGTGAGTGTTGGGGTTTTGTCAATACAGAATAAAAGTCTAGAATAATGCCAGTAAACTGGTGAGAGTTCCTCCTGCATGATCCTAACTGACTTTGGGTAGGGTTGGGTGTTTTGAAATACCACCATTTCCTGATTTTAATTGTTTCTTTATTTTGAGGTGGCTACATTTAAATTTGGGTCGTTTGGGGGATGAATACTTTTTGGTTTTTGTCTGAAACTTCAAAAAAAGGATCAGCCTAAGGTGGGTTTCTCTCTGTTGGAGAGACTGAAGACAAAGCCACAAAGAATCTTCTAGAAACTCTGAGGAACTGAGCATTTTGTTCACCTGTTTTATTTATTTTTAAACCTATTGTCGAAACGTTATTTAATATATAGTTAGAGCACAGCGAACCAGTGTCTGCAGGCACAGCTGCTGATGCAACTCCAGGGGGAGGTCACGGTGTCCGTGCTGGCCGTGTAGATGGCGCCCCCTGGAGGTGTGGCCCTGACCATGCCTTTTGAAGGAAATCATTTGCAAACATTTACATTATCTTTTGTTTGCTACAAATAGAGGCTACATGTATTATTATTGCAGTGTTTTCTAGGCAGTGTTTTGAGTCCTTTTTATTTGTTTTAACTACTTGGAGAAGCATTCATTCATTGATTCATTCTAACTAGAATCAGTTTGCCTGGGTTCAAGTCACCAGCTTATACGTCTCTGGATTGCAGTTCCTTATCTGCATTACCAGCAGGTGGGGAAGGAGGAACCCATAGTATTGCTGCGAGGAATAAATGAGACAAAGGCACAAAAGAGCACTCAATAAATGTTAGTCTTCCCAGAAAAAAGCTTCACACGTTGTCTGGGGTCCTTTTCTGTCTAGGAGGCTGTCACTTTAGTAGGGGATTCAGGTGGTTCAAAGCGTGTGCTGGAAGCTCACTGCAGGGAGGTGGGGGCATAGAGCAGATGTCACCCCTGGAAACAGAGGTGAAAGAATAAGCAAACACAGGAACTTGGAAGCAAAAAGTTGACTTGACTACGGGGGGGCTTTTACCAGGCGCTGTGGTGACAGCCGACTCACATTTTAAATAACTCTTATTTTCCACCACTTCCCTATTGTGTGTGTATTCAATTACTTGCGAGTTTTTTGCAGCTGCCAATCTGTAGGGGGAGGCCACCGTAGAACTCTTCTACTGCAGTTGGGATCTGGGGAGGAAAGTAGCCAAGAGGCCTTTTTAAGTCTCCTACAGCCCCCGCCGGGCGCTCAGGGTCAGCTGCGGCTCCGCGATTGGCGGGCCCGGGAGGCGGGCCCCAGCCGGGGATCCTGTCTGGGGACGAGAGGCGGGGCCCGGTCTGGGGCCGGGACCATCTGCGGAGGAGGGCTCTGCTTGGGGGCGGGGCCTGGGCGGGCGCGTCCGCCTCCGACACTTGCGCGCAGGAGGCCTTTCGGGATGGAGGAAGCGCAGCGCCAACTTGGGCGCCTGAAGGCTGCTGTACACCGCGGCCCCAGAGGTTCTCTAGGACAGCGCTTCCGCCTCCCGGTCGTTATCTGGCTGCCCCGCTGGGCCCCGGGACCAGAGTTTGCTTCGGGGGGTTAGGGGGGGGGTGCATGCGCTGCATCCCAACTGGAGCCCGCTGGAATTGGTCCGGGACGGTCAACATGAGTCCTGCCAAGTGCAAGGTCTGTTTCCCTGAACGCAAAGTAAAGTAAGTAAAGGCTGCAGTTTTAATGACCGTTATCTTTTACAAACTTATGCAGCGTTTCCCTACTTCCCGGCCCCTTCGCGAAGTCAAGCTGTGTGTCGTCTTAGCACCACCCCTTCTTCCCCGCCTCCACCCAAAGAAGTGCAGGCTTCAGTTTGTCCGTTGGGGAGACGGAACCCGCCTTGCAAAAACACTAGCTGGCCTCGGCAGTTGAAGAGGAGGTCGGATTTGGCAGTGATGTTGATTGGAGGAGGGCTCCCTGGAGCGCACAGGTGCCTCAAGGTTGCCCGGTTGGCACCCCGTTTTCTCCCTTTTCGCTTTCCTCCTCTTCCTCCCCTTACCCTTGATAAAGGTGATGATCTTGGAAGGCAGGTCTCTGAAACCTAGTGATTGTTAAGCCCTGAGCGAGTCACCGTGCACCTGAGCAGGTATCACATTTAAGGTTATTTTCTGAGCAGGTTAGTGTAGGCATTTCTGTGCTTGAGCGCTTCCTAGCCCCACCTGCTCGATTTCTTTTTTGTCTTCATTTTATTGCATTTTTTTAAAAAGTTACCGAAGTGATGCTGTGTTTGTTTTCGAAAAGTCAGAAAATTATAGATAAGCAGAAAGGAGGAACCAAAATCACCCATAACCGCCCCACCATAATCTTTATTAACAGTTGCTGTATATCCATTCTTACTGTGCAGTTGTTTTAATTTATGAATTGGAAGCATACAGAGTATTGTAACTTGCTTTTTCAA